CTTTGACATTTGCCATGGCCCTTTACTGGTAATAGGGAGGGAAATTCTGTCATAAGGGTCAAAATACATGCTCCTTCCATTTAAGTGGGTAAGCATAAACTTACTTTTTTTTTTTTTTTAATCTGAGAACAGCATGGGGAAGATTAATACCGGTTACTCTTATTTTCATTTAATCTTCTGGCGATTATATAAAATTTACCTATATTACTCCAGCTATAAGAAGTGGTTTTGAGCTACCAAACACCTTATCAGTGTCTCAAAGGAAAAGGAAAGATTAACTGAGGTTTATAGTCCTCAGAACCAGAGATGTGGTTCCACAGGCTCCGACAGAAGGAAACATTTAACCATCTGCTTGAAGACTCTCTACTCAGGAAAGGACTGCAGATCTCAGTGTCTTGTGCATTGTGGCTGCACATACATTCTGCTCCACTTGAATATGTACCTGTACTTCCTGAATCATGTGGAAGTAATCTTTTCACTTGATTCAAGAGGAATGAGCGTTTTCCTGTAAGCAGTGAAAGAAAGTATGATACTGAGGCTTAGAATTTGCACAGATAAACATTATTTTTCAAAACACAATAATTTTTCACTGCATGAAAAATTACTAGAGAAATATTTGCACTATTTTTTTTACGACCATGTTAAATTGGTTTTAGGTTTTGAATATAAGTTCTTCCTTGCCAAAAATTGCTCTTGAATTTCTTTTTCTTCAGGGAAAAATAACCAAACCTAATATAAAGACAGTCTTTTATATTTCAGGAAGCTCATTTAATAAAGGTTTCAGTGAGATAAGAGGAAGGTAAATGGGAAAATTACTTTTCTTTGGAGGGGGGTTAATCTGGAGAAATTGAGTTACAGGAAAAGAATGTAAACTATAATGGAGTTAGTGTGAAACTAATGTGGTTCATGTCAAGAACCATGAAGAAAATTAGAGGTGTTATGCAAAAGCAACAAATACCACCTTCTCTTCTCCAATGATCCAGGATAATAATGATATGAAACTATTTTTTGATCTTGTTGTATCATGGGGTTGTCCTTTTGCAGATGTTGAAATCCAGTTTCAGTTCGCTTACCATCAGAGCAGTGTTTGCTCAAAGAGCTCTACTGGTCTCATGTTGAGACATTAGCTTTTAAGATCAGCTCCATTAACGTAATGTACATTAACCATAAAACCTGGAATTTCACGACAAATTTTATTTCTTATCAGCTGTACTTTAAAGAAGACATTGGCCCTTAGTCTTCCGAAGAGGCTACTTTTATTTTTCTAGCTGCATTCAACCATTCTCATGCGAAATCCCATAGCCTTGGTAGAATGGTTCTTTATGCTAAAAAACAAAATAAAATTTTAGTTCTTAGGAGAAATGTATGTTGAACAAAGGATTCAAAACAGTGGATTATTGTTGTTATTCCATTGTACACAAGAATTGAATCTATTCTGTCTGTAATATATTTTTTTTTCTGTCAGAAGCTAGTTTTATTTGAATAAATGATATGAATAAACATCTCAGTCAATGTACCAATAATTGTTTAAAATTGCATCAAGACCTATTATGCATCTTATAGAAAGAGAGCCAGACAATGCTATGTGTCAGCCACAGTTATTCTATTGGTTGAGTTGAAGCACTGAAATACTATTCTGAGCATTGTGGAAGTTTTTTACCTTTACAGTTATTTCACAAAAGTTAAGATGACTTGTAATCTCTATTTTTTTGTTGTTTTCCTTTTTTTAATTTTTGCTTTTCTTTCGGACTAAGGTCAAATAAAGTTGAGACTGCTATGACAGAGAAAAAAGTGAATAAGTTTTGTTACATTTGTTTTTGATTGTGAGTAATCTGAAGTACCTTTCATGTTGTTTTCATGAAGGCATCATGTAAGCACACAAGATGTACCATTGCAAAGGATGTTGTGGTAAAAACTAATTATTAGCTGACATTTTACAACGTGTGTTAAAAGCTGTCTATAGTTTACTGGAGATTGATTAATCTCAGTTTCTTGGTTTATATATCTATTTTGAGAAATATATAGTTACTGTGTGAGCCAAGAAAATTCAAGGGTTTTTTTTATTCTTCTCTTCTTTATGTTGAGTTGGAATATCCTGTTCAAAAATCAATTAACAACTCATGACCATGTAACTAGTGTCTCTACAGTAGAGGACTCATAACACACAGAGCAAAATGGGAAATCAAACAAGGGTGTTTAGGAGAAACCTGTCTGTATTTTCGACCAAATCAGTAACAGTGAAGGAAGATAATGTATGGCACCTGCTAATATATTTGAGTATGTGAATACTAATTACACTAATGCCTTATAATCATGTTTTCTGTGGTTTTCATCCAAGAAGAAAAGAGTCTGTACAAATTCATTCTCGATAATCCTACAAGAGGTAAAGATTTTATCTGTAGATATTTATTAAGGTTAAATTTATTATGAAAGTATGTATCAGAAATGTTTATCTTTGTTGAAAAGTTCCTCCTAGTTTACTCCAAAGATGATTTGCAATATATTATGGGTGAAACGAGCAAATTTCATATAAATCAAGATACACAAGGAGAAAAGACTATTGTTTTCTTCATTTACTCACCCTCCCTCAATCATACTTTTTCAGGACATGTCTCTATTAAACAGAATTGCAACAGAAATATCATTCAACCTTTCAGTCTACCAAGCAGATGGCAATGGTTTAGTTCATCGAGCAAGAATATCTTATAAATCACTTGTGTATGTGGTGACAACAAAGGATTCTGAAAGCTTCAGTTGGCAAACACGGTGTCATTATTACTATATGTTTGCTAATGTTGTCAGGCAATGGTGTCACTGATGTATTAAGGACATCTCAACAAAATTAGTGGGAGGTTTTGCTTAAATCTCAGTGGTGTAAAATAAACCCAAGTGATTAGAGTAAATATATAATTAAATTTTTAAATTATGTTTTAAATGACGGAAAATTTGGTTCTGCCTGTAAAGACAAAAGATTTAAATACTGTTTATATTATAATAGCAGATCAATTTTCTCATCCCACAGTAAAGAAAACAGCTAAGGGATAATAATTTGGTTATTTGTGAAATTTTAAAGGAATTCTTCAAATAATTAAGAAAATAAATTTTTCAGAAGAAAACTGTCAGAACTTGAAAATATAACAAATGCTTAACTGCAGATTTCATCACCATCCTTTCTTCTCACATAATGGTACAATCATTTTATATATGTCTTAGATATCCCATGTGAGAAAACTGAGGCATAGATCGTTAAATTAACTTTACAGCTGTTATGCCAAAGGCTGTATGCCAGCCACACAAGCAGAACCTTCTCCTTCTCAGCTTCAGCGTCTATTTCCATAATCCTCTTTGCCTTTTTAGCTATGTCTTATCAAGAAAAATGAAACAGTGAGCAGATAGTGTACTGGAAGAGGAAATCCTTTTTTAAAATGTCTATTCTGTGTAGGCATTGCATGCGTTGAAAACCCTGGCATATGTCCAGGTCTATACCAGAGACATGTCTGAGTGTTCTCCAAAGGATTCAGTATTTGGGTATTTTTGTACAATCGTAGAATGACTGGGGTTGGAAGGGACCTTAATGTTCATCTAGTTCCAACCCCACTGCCATGGACAGGGACACTTTCCACTAGACCAGATTGCTCAAAGAGCCATTCAACCTGGCCTTGAACACTTTCAGGGATGAGGCATCCACACGTTCTCTGGACAACCTGCTCCAGTTTCTCACCACCCTCACAGTAAAAAATTTCTTCCTAATATTTAATCTAACCCTACCTTCTTTCAACTTAAAACCATTGCCCCTCATCCTGTCGCTACATACCACTGTAAAAGTCCCTCCCCAGCTCTTTTGTAAGCCTGTTTTAGGTACTAGAAGGCTGCTATAAGACCTTCCTGGAACCTTCTCTTCTCCAGGCTGAAAAATCCCAGCTCTCTCAACCTGTCTTTATAGGAGAGGTGCTCCAGCCATCTGATCTTCTTATGGCCCTCCTCTGGGTTTGCTCTAGCAAGTCAATGTCCTCCCTGTGCTGGGAACCCCAGACCTGGATGCAGCACTCCAGGTGAGGTCTCACCAGAACAGAGAGACAGAATCCCCTTCCTTGACCTGCTGGACATGCTGCTTTAGATACAGCCCAGGACACAGTTGGCTTTCTGGGCTGCAAGTGAACATTGCTGGGTCATGTCCAACTCTCATTCACCAGCACCCCTAAGTACTTCTCAGGGCTGCTCTCGATTCATTGTCTGTCCAGCCTGTATTTATGCTTGGGATTCCCCTGACTCAGGTGAAGGACCTTGAACTTGGCCTTGAACTTCATGAGGTTTGCACCAGCCCACCTCTCAAGCCTATCAGGGTCCTGCTGGATGGCACCCCTTCCCTCCAACACGTCAACTGCACCACACAGCTTGGTGTCATCGGCACACTTGCTGAGGGAGCGCTCAATACCAGTGTCCCTGTCACTGGCAAAGATGTTAAACGATGCTGGTCCCGACACTGACCCCTGAGGAACACCACTTGTCACTGTTCTCCGCAGGAATTTTCTTCCAGTGGTCTGATGGACACTAGCCACAAGTAAGCTGGGAAAAAAAAGTCCTAGTTTGGATGGCCTGCAGATGATTTAATGGATATCAAAGACAATGCATCAAACTGGGATTAACGTTGTTGAAAAATATAAATTTGCTAAGAAGGATGAAATTTTGGACAGGCACAAGACCATTTAGTTCCTAAGGTTGGAATTTTTCTTAACTTCACATAAAAATTTGCACTACATGTAATATGTAGCTACAAAATAGGTATGGTTGAGTTTTGTATTAAGGAAGATTTTGGGCTAGATCGCCATAATATACTGCCTCATAAAAACTGCAAATACAGGAAATATCAGATAAGCATGCAACTCTTGCTCATTTAGATGAGATGCTCTGACCTCACATTATCTTGATCAAAACTATTATTACAGTAATCTCTGAAATACTTTGTACATTGTACAAACCTCATAAAGCAGTATGTCACTTATTATTTCTGGACTCTTAGCTGTTTTGCAGAGGTCGTGGATACAGGTAGATAAGCTAGCACAACATTCTTTATGTGGAATCTTACAGGAACAGAAAAGAATACTGTACTTAAAACGCTAACTGAACATAAAAGTAAGTATTTTTAGCTACTCTAAAGCGGTAAGTGCAAGAATAATAATACCAAAATTTCAAATCTAAATTTTGGTTTGTTGAAAAGTAGTCAAACAAATTTCCTCAATCATAATTCCTGTGTAAGAAAACTTGTTTAAAAACAAAAAAGAAGAGAAAGTGGATGACTATATTTGTTCTGAACAGACTTGTCACACTGTTTTGTTTATGTATGTGTATCTACATACATACATATTTATAGATTGTTCATATTGCTTCTCTATGAAATATTTAACCATATGTTATATGGAATGTGCCTCCTTATTTCTCATAGTGTATGAGTCAAAGTCAATGAAGAATTCAAGGAAAACATTATTTAAGCTTTATTCTGGTAATGCATATGCAGCAGTTTAGGAATTTAAACTGTTGCTGGATCTGAAAATAAATGCTAGTGGTAAAAAAGGATTAATTTCCTACAACAGATAATTCCTGGCTATTATATTCAGCAAACCATTTTGTCGGGAGGCACAACGATCACCCTCAATTATTTCTTGTATCTCTAGACAGTTTAAGAAATTTTTCTGTTTAAATTTCATGCATGCCCTATGATTCTTCCAGGCAAAATAAGAGGAACAATTAGTCCCTTTACAGAGAGAAACAGGAGAATCCACTGGTCCATATCCTGAACCATTTGACTGGGGCTGTTCAAGAACAAAATTGGACCATCTGGGATCATCTGAATCTCATTTAATGAGTTTTCTGTAGACTGGCTACTTCTGTGCTCATTTCCCTGCAGCAGTTCAACTTTATTGTTATCAACAAAGCATTGCCATTTTACCCACTGACTGATACTCTGCCTCATTCTTGAAAAAGAACTGATAAGCCAAAATCTACAATTTCCAAATAAATAAATTTTGGTGACCAAATATTTCTTATCTGAAAAATTGTGTTGAACTTTCAGAAACAACAAAAATATTTATGCCAGTTCTGTAAATTTTACTGTATGATTTTTGTCAATGGATTACTCTGATATTGTACTGTAAATGTTTTTCATTGAATTATGTTACAAGTTAAATGTCAACTGCAATAGAATTTAAATAATTGATAGAACAATGTAATGGAAAGAAAAAATGAAATCCAAAACTCCTGAAGACTCGTAATAATCGTTCTGCCTCTGACTTCCAGGGAATTAGTACTGCACTTAAACATTTTCTTTTGCACCATTTAGTGACCTTCTAATTTGGACTATACTAGTCTGTGTCCGGGGTTCTTGACAAGCTCATTTAAGTGGAAATGAATCAATTAATTAAATCAGAGTTTGAAATGTGGCTACTAATGAATTTGATGCCATTAAGTGAATATGTACACATTCAAATAAGAACTTTCCTTCAAAATTTTAGGATTTTACTATAGATGTTTAAATTAAATTTATTATCATGTGTAGAAGATTCTCTCAAAAGTTATATACATTTATTTGCTTGAAGTACTAAATCATGATTTTCCATTTTAAAATGCTAGAGCTGAAATACAGTGAGGAAGCTGGTAGTGCAAGATCTTTTTTAGTAATTCTGGAGAAAAATGTGTGAGACACAGCACATCTCATTCTGAAATGGAAAACAAGGATGCCCTTATTTTAATGACCTGCCCTCAAAACAACAAAAAGTATTCAAACTCAGTTGCATTTTGAAAGGGAGGAGGAAAAAATACTCTCTCTACACAGTAGGAAGTTCCTCTGCCTTTCATATTTCTAATTCCAGGCAGGATGCTATCTGCTCCAAAGAGCAAGAAAACAAATGCCAAGCTTTAATCAGAATTATATTGGCTGTGTAGGGACTTTCAGATCATTTGCCCATTCCTAACAATGTCATGCAGATTCCCTTCAGAATATCAATGCAGAGGCCTTTGCCCTTGCTGTGAAGAAAAGGTTGCAAAAGACTGAAGATGAGCAGCAGGTCCGTTTGAGGTTAACATTCCTTTTTGTGATGGGGGGAGGAGGAAAGGGTAAAAGTTTCACTCTAATTTAATTCCTTAATGAAACTAAGAATTAGAATCCCTGCAGTGTAGCGCTTACCTTTTCTCTAGTGTCAAGCAATTTTTTTCCTCAAATACATCTTGGATAATGCTGTAGGCTTATGGTTATCTGAGGGTTGGCTTAGAGGCCATTAATAAGACACACTGTACTGAATCTGATGGACCTTACAGAGCTACCTTAATAAAAATCTTTGTTGCAGAAAGTGCAGCCCTGTTTTTCAAATAAGAAATGTTTGATCACTGCAACATGTGTTTATTTCTTTATAGAAAATAATAGCTTTTACCTATATCACTTAATTTTTAAAAAATTTAAGAGATGTTCTTTTCTGCTTCCTTTTCCCCCAGTGTCCCTAAAATCCCCAGGTCTTACTCCTCTTATTCTGTGCAATAAAACATGCCCACAAAAAGGTAGACTTCAATGCAGGTAAGATGCACTTAGACCATCATATTGTTTGGACAGTAAAGCAGCTGGAGAAAACATGAACAATAAACCAGCTCAGCTTATCACTTCTGATTCGTAGGAAAAAGGCAATTGTTTTAGATGCATTGGAAAGCCACTGCTGTATCTCCACCCCCCATGCCTCAACCCCCTTCCCTTAGTCTCCTAATCAGAATTTGTTCATTTTTAAATTGCAATTTTATAGCTATTCAGTTTTTGTCAATATGACTATGGTTTGAATAAATTTTTATCATTGACAAGTGTTAGTCAGCAAGGTCTAGTAATAGGAAGAAATTGTATCTTTCATTCATATTTATTTTCCAAGCTTTTCTTTAAAGAGATATGCCCTGTTCAATAATTTAGCTTACATGTTCTTAGCAGAATCTCTTCCATTCTGAGTTCTTCTTTCCTGGATGTGGCTGAACAGGTCTGTAAATTCTAGATGAGATTTCATGAGGGCCTTTTACTGAAAATACTACAACAGAAACATATTTCAGGAAGCACATAATACAATGGTTCATAATTGTTTTGCAATCAACTAACTGTATTTTTCTGCAATCAACTAACTGTATTTTTCTAATCTTTCTAATTTCTAATTTTCACTATATGTTCTGGGACTACTGTACCACTGTGTTTGTCCTTTACATCATTCTTTTCTACTATAAGATAGCAATGAATGAATACTTGAGATAAACTCTCCTTCCTATGGGAAATGTTACTGTTTCCATTGTATTTCATTAGATCAACAGAACAACTGGCTCTTTCAAACTTCTAAGAGGTTGACAAGTTCCCATTTCACAGCATATTACTAGCTTTGTTAATAACTGGAAATAAATTTTTGAGTGCATGATGATGTGCTAGGATTTCATATTATCGGCTAAGAGCGTTAGAGAAGAAGTTCAGATCAAGTTTTTCACTTGTTCCTATTTCTATCTTCTTGGTGTATGCTAAAAAACCAATTGCTTTAAATCGTTCTTGGTATGAAATCTGTCTACACATCTAGTTTAACTATTTAACTATGCCATTTAGATGGTAATAGTTTCTTTATTACATGATGCATTTAAGCATAGATTCAAGGTTTCATTGACTTTTTTTCCCATTTATTATAACACATTACATATCCACACTCCATTTCAGCATCCTGCCTACATTGCCTAATCAACAGTGAGGAACTGATATGCTGTAGGAGAAAAAGACATACACTCAAGGAACCACCAAATCTAAAAGTGGTGCATGCTAGATCAGTCTATCATCCCTCTCCATCACTTGCAGTGAAGTAAATTCACAAGAGAATTAAAACTGTGAGAGACAGTGAGATACTTCTTTGGAAACTGCCTAGAAACTCCATATTGGAGTCTCTTCATCTCCTCCCAGATCAGTGTACAGGGGCTGAAAGCCAAAGCTGTGTTATGGCTGTCTCCTTTCTGCTGAATGACTGTTTGTTAGAAGACTCTTTTACAGTTGTGCTATGTTCTTTATTTCTTTCAGTTCTACTTTTATTTCTTTTCTGAGTTGTCTTGCATTTAAATGTTCCTAACAACCCCTAAAATAATAGGAGATTAGTATGTACCCTGCATCTGTGTCAACTTAATCAACTTTTAAGTATCATTTTCCTAGTATTTTTGTGCATACGCCATGCAAGGAAGAAAATCGGAACAACTCCAGCTTCACACAGGGACTTTCCAAAAATCCATTTTTATAAACACCTCTACAAAGTAATTTGAATGGGAAATTAATGCAGGCAGATATGTGCAATGGATAGTTCAAACGAGAGGAAAGTTATGAAAGTACTAAAAGACCTTGTAGAAAACTAGTCTACAACTTCAAGTTTCCAAATAGTTGGAGAATTTTGATGTTTGGCAGAGTCATATTTCAGAAGCATTATAGGCATTGTTCCTAATTTTCAGGAAAAAAAAGCCTGAAAAACAAAATAAATTCACTTTTCAGTGTTTAAAAAATTAAGAACATGGGTAAAGTACGTCTGTACTTGTGGAAATATGCATGTATGTGAACACTTTGTGCGAAAGATTGGGACATGGAACATTAGTGAGGGAGAAAAAGAAGTGGTACTGTTGTGTTCCAAAATATGATATCTGTAGAAAGAAATTTGAGTGGTCTCTGCAGAAAACCTTGAGTCACAGAAGCTGGGGAAAAACCTCTGTTTGCGGGCCAGACCAGATGTCACTTGTTTAGAATCCTCTGCCAAGAGATAAGGAGAGGGTGCTCTGATGTTATCAGACCTCTGCATAAAACCCATTGTATTCTCCCCTTGGCATATGTATTCTCTGTATCCCTTGCATCCTGCAGATCCAATAGCTAATCCCCCTATAAAATCCCCCAAGATAGAGTTTTTCCCATGAGGTAATTCCTAAGACTGTAAAATGTGTTAACCTGGGTTTTCCCCTTACGTCATCCTTGTGAAACCCCCCAATTTTAATGGAATGAATATGCAACCCCCCTGACGAATATGTAAACCCCTTGTTGAATATGTAGACCCTAAACCCTTTAAATATGAAATTGTATGTCCAATAAGCCATTCTAGTTTCTGCCTCCAAACTGGGATTGTGTTAGTTAATTGACTTGCTACATGGTACTACTCTTTTTGGAAAAGGTATCAGTTCCTTCATTCATCCAACATCTAATCTTCCACTTTTCCTCTGAATCGCAACTTGCACACAGCTGTGTTTCTGAAATAAATATTTATGCTTATGGAATTAACTAAAAAAAAAAAGTGCAGTCTTTCAAAATGCAGCAGTATTTCATTTCTATTAAACAACACATAATCACTTTTATTGAGCTATTCAGAGTATTTGAAATATGCAATTTATAATTATTCTGCTTTCTTTTTTTTTTCTTAGCTTGAAATGGTATGTGACACAGAAATATCTTACCTAGAACACACCAAACTATCTTGGAAATGTAAAGCCATGTTGGAGAGAAGATTTTGTGTGAGCTAATTTGCTTTAGCTATGCTGTGCTGAAATAACTAGACTTTTTCTAGAAATATTTTTATCAGATGTCATTGCACTACAGAGACTTTATCATATATCTATTGAAAATAAAAGAGACCATGCTCATTGCTATGGTAATCATGTCTGAGTCTTTTTCAAGAGGAATTAAACATTTAAATAAGATCTTACCTGCCTAAATATCTTTGTGGACTTGGACCTTCACCTCCTAAATTAGTTTTCTAATTACAGTTTCACTGAGGATTCTTGGCATGAGACATAAACACATTAAGTTTGTCAGTGGCCTCCCAAACATACCTTTGATTGATGAGGTGAGAGATTAAAGGAGTTGTAAGAAAAGCAAACAATGCTTCATACTAGAATACGTATTGTACCTCATAATACGTTCTTAAAAGTCATCTGTCTAGGTGTCCTTCAAGCACGTTTTCCTTCTTTCTTCACCTTATTTTTTCCTATAAGATGCAGTTTATTATAAAAAAAAGAATCT